TGCACGCTTCTAATACTCAATAGAGAAGGTTTAATGCTCAATGAAAAATGTCTTCATGCTCAACTAACAAAGCTTATTATTTTCATATTAATGCTTATTTTGTTAGCTACATATGCTCAATCGTAATGATGTTATGCTCATTTTTAAAATGTCATATCAATGAATATTTCAAAAGTATCATATTACATTAGATTAATATATGGAACTTCATAAGAATTGATTGTAGATATAATTTAATAAGTTTCTATAAAAGAAAGTGAATTAGAAGATATGAAGCAGAAATTATGATGCTCAATATTATTTAGACTCCTAATACTCAACAGAATAGGTCTAGTGCTAATTAAAAGTTCATTAATGCTCATTTAACAAAAACCGTTATTTTCATCTCAATGAAGATGAAAATAAATCTTACAATTTTCATATTTGGAATTGTGCGCATTTTGAAAGTTGTGTATGCTCATTTGATACTAATATTATGCTCATTTTTAAAATGACATATCAATGCATATTTCAAAAGTACCATATTACATTAAATTTGCATATTGAAGTTTATAGAAGTTCATCATAGATATAATTTAATAAGTTTTTATAAAAGAAAAAGAAAGAAAAAGAAAGTGAATTACAAGATATGAAGGAGAGATCACGAAGTTCATTATTTGACTCTTAATGCTCAGTAGAATACGTCTGATGTTCATTAAAGGTGTATTAATGCTCATATAACGAAAACCGCGATTTTCACTGAAATTACGAAAAGGCCACCGTTTTTTTGTTCTGATATCAGCTTTCTTTTAATAACATGGTGCTCATTATTAGACGCTTAATACTCATTAAATTTGGATTATTGCTCAATAACAGTACACTAATGCTCATTTAGTAGAAACCGCGATTTTCACATTATTACAAAAATGCCACCGAATTATTTTGCTATTTCCCCCCTGGACCTGTTATTGGGCCGGCTGTACGGTGCTCACCGTACAGCCGGTTGTACAATATACATACTCCGCATAATCTATCAGGTCATTTTTTTTGTTTGTGTTTTATTTATTTTTTTAGCATCATGTGATCCTGACTTTATGGACTGACCACGAGCTCTTAAGTACCCACCCCAAGCCTTTCAGAAAAATAAATCTGATTCACTCAAACAATTAGCAAATTTTCATTGTATATGTACACCACCACACATAAAAAATTGTTCTCAAGTGATTAAGAGAATTTTGCCCTCTACATTAAAAAGTGATTTTTAAGTGATTTTGGAGAAAATGTTTAATAGTAAAAGTTAGTAGCATTTGATACTACTTTTGAAAAATTAAAAGCTAAAAACATCAAGTAAAAAGTGGGTTTTTGTGTAATAGAAAAGTGAAATGAAGCACCTATCCATTTGCTTCGAGCAATTAACTTTTAAATGCTTAATTTAAAACATACTCTTAAGACTTTTTAAAGTCAAAAGCTGGAAAATATTTTTTAAAATTTTGCAAACACTCCTTAATAGTGTGTGTCCAGATCTCCACCACAAGCTAACCCTCGAGACGTGATGAAACACTAGATGCGCCACCACTCTAACTAACCGTGCCCCGTGGGGTTAAAGAATAGAAAAGTCTCAAATTCTCATGACTTAAATTTAAGAGCTCCCACAAGGAGAGAATCGTGAGTGTGTGAAGTGATCTCTTAGACCACTCCCACTTACTAGATACCAATTTTGTAGTTATCTACCACTCACAATACCATGACTATCATCAAGGACCTCAGTGTATCACCCTTGCAACATTTAAAGTGACAAACTAAGAAAAAGTGTGCACCACCAAAAAATTGACATAAATTCAACTGTGTTGATAATACAAGTAAAAGGCATCAAGATCAACAATTTATCACTAGACAAGCTCAATATAGGCCATAGGTGCATTGTCCCCCCCGCCGAGGGAAGGTTCTAAGTATCCTTGTGTATCCGCCATTTCTCTCCCCATATCTCTCTTGGACCTCGGCAAACAAGGCATGCACTAACTCTTTCTCATAGATGAAGCCAAGGGCTTGCCTTCGTTTGTGAAGTGAGCCTTCCTTCGCCAAGGTAATCATATGGTCAACATACTTTCTCATTGCTTTGGCTCTCGCTCTGGTCGTCATAATGCGCCCATGTTTGAGAAGCTGAGTCGTGAGGCCTCGTAAGAGTGCCCGTCGCTGGTCAGGGGGTCTGTTCAGTTTAGGCACCCTCCTCCCATGTCTCATCGCAAAGACTCGGAATCCATTGCCCATCACAGTTAATAAGTTCTCAGAACTTGTTGAATCTGCAATACACGCAGAAGCATATTTTGAGCTGAGGCTAGTGATAGTGAAGCCAGCAGAGATACATTACTTGGCACTTTGGCAGCTAAACATTACTTGGCATCTTCAAGTGAAAATTAAAAGTGATTGATGGCAAAACTAGCCCATTAACAGAAAACAAACGGGGTGGGATAGAAAACAAAGCACCTTTTACTCAGTGATCAAGACAAGCTCATTCAGTCCAATAGACACGGAAATAACTCAAATAAGATCATTTTATCTGATAAAATGAAAATAAACCAAAAGAGGCATGACCTCAAAGTATTCATAATAGAAAAATCCAACTGCACATAAGGTGAAATTTTACTGTTTATCACTTCATTATGCCTTTTAGAAATAGTTACCAACAACTGGAGCCGAAATGAAAAATCCCTAACAACGCTTTCTCCTATAACACCATTGGCACTATGAAATTGAGCAATCACTTCCAGTAATTAGTTAAAAATAATAATCGAAAAGCTCTCCATAAGTCCATAACTACAATTATGGCCTCTCGGTTGGACAAAATAGCAGATTCGAACATAAAAAAAACATTAGAGACAAAATAAACAATAGAATAAGTCAATAACCAATTTAATTGCTCAGGAACAGCATAAAACATCGCGTAATCCGCATATCAACGAGTGATGACAATTTACCTTGAGGAAAAAGAGATAGAAGCGGTTGAAATGGGGCAAGTCCTACGAAAGAGTGAGGAATCACTGGCTGTGGACTGGATCGGGAGAGCTTCAGTCGAGATGGAGAAGACCGAGCTGGGAAGCGGGTTGAGGAGGCTGACGGCGGTTGGATACAAGGAAGAGTTGATCTTAGAGAACTCATACTCCATGCCGCTGAAGATACTGAATTGATCGCGCATGTCGCCATTGTCAGGGCTCTTCCTCTCCTCTCTCTCAAGTTGTGGATGACTGTTATTGCTACTTACTCATAAGATAAAACTCAACTGATGAGTAATTTAAAACTGGCCCAATATTTTGAAGATATTTGTATCACTACCCATTTATATCCTTATATTCGGTTTATAAGACTTTGCCATAGATAAAAGGGAAAAGGTGCAAATAGGCCCATGTACTAACCAAAAAAGGTCAAATAAGCCCTTATTTAGGAAGTTCTGTCTGGCCATCGTCATTTGGGGTGGTTCCCGGTGGAATTTTTTGATGAATTTTTTTGAGCATCTTATTCATCAAGTCTAGTTTACTCATACCAAATTTCAGCTAAAACTTCAATCGGGAAGGCATTCAAATGAATTCTTGAAGATAACTGCGCTTCTAACTGCCCAGTTATTTTCAAGAATTCATTTGAATGCCTTCCCGATTGAAGTTTTAGCTGAAATTTGGTATGAGTAAACTAGACTTAATAAATAAGATGCTCAAAAAATTTCATCAAAAAATTCCACCGGGAACCACTCCAAATGGTGACGGCCGGACAAAGCCTCCTAAATAAGGGCTTATTTGACCTTTTTTGGTTAGTACATGGGCCTATTTGCACCTTTTCCCTAGATAAAACTAAACTAATCAAAAATTCAAAATGAGTGTATACTTTATTGCATTATACTCCGTATGCTAGTATTAAAAGTTTGACACATTTGTGTAGTACGTAGCAGATTCATGTTTAAGTTAATTCTCTTGCTATGATTGATACTTTATGGCATTTTTTGTACCTTAGATATCAAGGGGACATTTTATTACAAATTGGGATCATTTTTTTCAATTACATTGTTCAACTTAATTCCCGTTGTTTTGTACATAAACCGTCAAGTTGACATTTCTATTAGTGGTTTTCACCAAGTCAATGCGCCAATAAAATGACCATCGTGATAACATTTTTTTGTTTTCAAGATGACATTATTGCTTGATGATGACAATTTGACTTGATATGTAATTTCACAAAACGATCTCATTAAGACTTGGCAATGGTGTTATAATGTTTTCATGATGACATTCTTGTTTCGCAGTGGCACTCTCGCTTGGCTAGAATTACACATGATCATTTTTAATTAAGAATATATTTTAAATTTGATCTCGCATTTACTCCTACAAATGACATAGAAACAATTTCATCCTATTTTTTCACTTAATTCAACATGTTTTGGTCTTGTTTGAATCATTTTCTTACAAGAGTTGGTCATTCAACATTTCCATTCGTTCATGTCGATTGTGAGGAGTTTGTTTAAAAAATGAATGAATTAGACATGGTGTTGATAGCAAATAAAAACACAAATATTAGAAAATATTTCACATATTTGCTAAGCAATGTCACGATTTAACCTTTCACGCTGTTCATATTTTCCCAGCTCATAAATTTACCATTTGTTAACTCCTTTAATCATAGGACCATCGTCCATAATGGAATAACCCTTAAACTCTTAAAGTGACTCTCCACCTCAAAGGCATCCTTCCACCTCAGCCCTAAGAGAAGGCCAAAATCTCCTAATCACAGGGCATCCTCTTCACCATCAACCCTACCCCTAAGGCTAATTTGCTTTTACCACCTTGAGATCATGTCATAATTACCTAATTCAGCTTTAATTATATCTACTATTTACCATCATATCAATATTTATATCATTTAACTTCAAATTATTGTCTAATGAAGTAAAAAGTAAAAAACTCATCAGCACAATTTTGAAGAATAGTCTATATATTGAGAGGAGTTGAGGAGGTGAAAATATGAGTAACATACATGAGACGGATTAAAGTTTAAATGTTTTCACTTTTAAGATCGCTTGTTCTGGACAACTTTCTTATGTAATTAATGTTCATCGTTAGTTTGTTTATATAAACTTCACTTCAAATCTAACTGATGTACATCAAATGTTCTCAATGACACTTCCGCAAATAGCAAAGACGATGCAATGATGAGTAATGAGTATCAACTAAGCCGGTCGCCCCTTGGGAACGACACGTCATCCCTAAATAAGATCAGATCACCTATGATGTGTTACAAAATCAGACGTTTGACCATTACATGATGTATTAACTTAAATATGTTCACGCTCCTGAAAATTGACAGTAGGCAGGCACCATGTAGAAGCAACTAAAAGTCCAAGGGCCCTGTTTGGTAACTCCCGGAGCAACTACCTACCGAACCATATGAAGTCCCACTTGAACCATCAACAGGGGCTTGATTTAGACACTCCAAAACCAATGACCGTCGCTTGTGGAGCTTAATCGAGAATGTGGTTGCCTCAAGAACCACAGGAACCTGTTGAAAGGTTTGTATTAATTGGACAGGTGATAGATACGTGAAGAGCTAGCTATCTAGTTGAGAGGTCAAAGCACACACCTGCGTATTATGACGTCCCACCTTGTGCATATTGAGAAGGCCAAGCATGTCCTGGTAACCTGTCAGAAGCTTTGCCAACTCCTTGTCCTCGTCTGATCCAAGCATCATGAGTTATATATATACACACACACACACACATACATACATTAACACAGCAGCATTCAAATAATAGTAGAGACACACCTGGAATTGGTTGAACGGATATCAAAGTGTCAGCTAGATGCTGCAACCTCTTCAAGAAGGTTGGTGAAATAAGAGAAGAAGGAACAGTTACGACTGCTACTGAATTTGAGGACCTTATCATGCATTTCAAAGATCTGATGAAGGAAAGTATATCCCACTCCTGCACTCGGTAAAAGCAGCATTTCAAAGATCTTTGAAAAACTGAAAGTAATTTCACTTTGAACAAAAACATTACATCAATAACAAACCAAAAAGAAGTAACAAATTAAAGTTGAGAATGGCCAATTGTTACTAACATTGTTGGAAAACTCACACTGAGGAGCACATAGTGACTGAATGGCAATTCTACCCGGGTAAGCCATGTTGCCATCATATCTGGAAACAAAAAAAGTAGCATTGCAATCAGTCATAAAATACATAACAATTTTTCCTCCCTAAGCAAACGATAATAAAGTGTAGAAACATACACTGCCGTTTCTGTCACTTCTACAAAGAAAGGTTCGGTTTTTTAGTACTTGTGCAAAAGGGGGTGTTCTTAAGGCAAGTGGTTAAATAAAATAGTTTGAGCATAGAACATACGAAAGAGAAAGATTTAAAAAGGTAAATAATCAAAGTATATAGTTGTATGGGCGGGAGTATAATTTGGAGGAGTAATTCATGAAAAATGGTGTTACTATGAATGTACTTATTTAACGATGTGATGATAAAGTTACCATTGAACACCTTACTATTTTCCCGAAAAGGAAAGTGGAAACCTGAAGGTCTAAAAAAGAGTGAAGTGGAAACCTTAAATTGGGACAGAGGGAGTACCTTAAATTGACATGGAAATCTGTGCATAAGATGAGTGTTTGCACCCTATCTTACCGAAGATTTTTAGTCCTAATGAAGTTTAGTTCTTATCCCATGTCATTTGATAGCACAAAAATCCTCAACAAGCATTGCTTCTGAAGCTTTTAACACATTTTAAAATCTTAAACTAGAAGAGATAAGATTTAACACAACCCTATCACTGTTTATTTAGCCACTGAACAACTTTTTCCTACTATAATATCTAGGCACATGCAGCACCATATTCATTCACTGGTCATGACTCATGAACGACTAATCCCGTCAATGAGAAGCCTAAACATATGAGAAGCCTAAACATATGAGCGAAAGCGGAAATAAAAGCATGCTGATACCTTGGAATTTGTGCAAAGAATTTTGAGCAAGTCTGACGAAGAGGGTCTAGATTGGGAAAACCCTGAAGACTAAAGCAATCAATGTGTGGCCCAGTAAGGAAATGCCGCTCCAATGGCTTTCGCAGGTCAAAGTCATTGCAATATTCATCTCTCCCACCTGCATGACACAGTAGACTAGCTTCTCTTCACATGCAACTACAATATGTTTACGGGTGTTCATAGTTTCTCACCCTAAATAGAATAAGATAAATCTCAGGAGTACTGCAGCATCTGTTTGATAAGATAGAGTGAGGGCAACTCAATGGAAAGCAAGAAAACTAGGCATACAGTTATATTCTTAATTGATACCCAGACTCCAGCACACCATAAAAAGTACAAACTACTCCCAATAAAAAGTATAAATATAACCATCACTATCATTATCAGAACCATAACCCAAAGTACCCAACTAATTGGGGTCAGTGGGATTAAACTTATAGTGTCAATTAAACAAAGTACCCAAAGCTGCATAGTACTATAAACTCATGCAATAAACCATAATGGAAATGCAAGCCAGATGCCCATGCCATCACACCTTCTTAATAAGGAATAATGAGATGAAAATTCTTAAACATCATCCTCACAAATTACTTCCACATGCATGGAGATTATCATGATAAAATGAGGAGTTGAGATATTTTCTATTGTTATGTCCACTAGATGAATGATATTGCAAAACCAACAGTCCAACATGCAAACCAGGGAGCTCATACCAGAAAGCATGAATTATGCCAATAAACTGTAATAACAATAACAGCATACTACTTTGTAATATTGAGAATTACATATTGTTTAAATGAAGCATGTCAAATCTTATTTTTTGCGTTTTGGCAACTCACAACTGCTTGCATGAAACTAGCTCAAATGAGAAAAAGTTTCTCATGATAAAAGATAAAGGCATATAAAGAGATGTGGAAATAGCAATTGTTGTTCAACCTATTTTACCTTGCTGACCATCTGAACTATGATCCCCAAAATACTTTTTGTATTGCCAAGCGATCCGTAAACCCTTGTCCTGTGATTTCCATGTGTATTTAGTATTTGAGAAACTTTTCCACCTATTTTAATAACTGGCATGGGAAAAAATTGTACATTTAGTGTAAAAAACAAGGTAGAAAACCTGTTCTACGTCCCTCTCTAGGGATTTGTCGTCCTTGGAAGGCATTGGACTTGGCAAAGTACCAAGAAAAACACGGGGATCCCTTTCAGGACTGGCATAAAGCAGTGGCTGTTTGAGAACAATACCCTGAGACATGAAATTTCTCAACAAAAGCATATGATGAGGTGCCTCAAGGTCCTCCATCACCAACACAAGGCTCCCCATCGAGAACCCACCACCCAAAATCCCTAGTGTAACAATAAAATACAGAAGTAAGCGATCAGTTATCAACTTCCTTCCCAAGTCCCAACTAGTTGTATATACAGTATTCTATTTTCTATGAATGACTACTTTGAAATGGTAAAAGGAAAAAATATGGGTTTGAAATTACTATCGAGATCACATATGCCAGATGAAAGAAACATAGCTCCATTGAGACCATGTTTAACTCCAGGAATAGGTGCCACAGGAGCAGCAATGTTACGAGAGAAACTGCTAGTTCGATGCCTGTTTGCACCCATAATGGTGCTGAAAAATCTGCATGCCACAATAAAAAACAAATAACTTAACTTGCTGCTTTAACTCGGTACTTAAAGATGGACAAAGTAAACCCCACTTTGACATTAGGGATGGGAACGTGCTGGGTAGGGGCGGGTTATCTGCAAAAAAAATTAAGAACCGCCAGTTCAACTAACACGGTAGATCCGGCCTGGTACATCAATTCCCCTTATAGGAACCGGATCTTACCCGCCCAGTTTGAAACGAGTCGGTTCGGTCTGGGGTTTTGGTTCTTTTTCATCACTTAATGATTTTTAGGTTTACCACTTTTAACCTTAACATTAGATCAATAATGGCCTACAAGACTACAATAGCCAAGATAAAGCACTGAAGAAAACAAAACACTAATATAGTTCAGACTTGTACTATCCTTATAAATATAAACCAGTTAAAGAAACTATCAAACAAGCCCAAATGAATCCAAGAAAACAGAATCAATAAATTTCTACAAGAAACTACTAAACTTTTGTTTCAAACAAAGCCAGTAAAAAATTCATCCTAATCCAAGCAATTGCAAATTTGAACACAGCTCAAATCCCTTTAAAAAAAACCAAAATTCTAATAAATCTGCAACAGTCACCAAACAAATATCCTGGTAAAAGTAGATACACACAGTCTGATAGTCTATATTCATAGAACAAGAATCAAATTTAAGATTGAAATCAATCACCAATGCTCCTCCCAACAAAAACTAAAAGAAAATAGCACTTTTAAGTTTCAAGTTCTAACAAATCATCAATATTCCTCATTGAAGCTGCAAAGAAAAAAAGAATAAACAATAAGAAACTGGCTCTTAATAAAAGGAATTATTGAGATGCACAACCCCTAGGCCCTAGTGGTACACTTACACCAGTAATCTATCCAAAAATGATCATGTATAATTAATATTTGTAAACTGTGGCCCCTCTAACACATAATGTCTAGCTCCCTGCTGTAAATTTCATTCCTCAATCAATGCGACATAGTAGTAGGCTACATAGTCAATCTAAAGGTCCTAAACACATATATTAGGTTATTAATTATCTTTTTGTGTATTCTATTGTCAGTAAGTTCTTAGTTTCTTACACTCAGCATTAGTCATTGTAAGCTGGGTTTTGTGCAGGGTTTTGTGCATCTAATGTGTATTTAAACTAGAAGTTGTGCATCTAAGAAACTTGTGCAAAGAAGGCTTTTTATTTCCACAACTCTCCAATAGTCTAAAGTCTAATATTAACCAGAGATTTATAAAAGACTATACAACAGGGCACTATTTCTATCTACTTGAAATGTCAACCAAAAGAAAAAATAAAACTTGAATGATTTTTAATTACGACTAACTGGAAGACAACTAGCTAAAGTCATATCTAATTATAGAAATGAAATTTCACAGTAACTACCTATACTAGCAGCTAATTACCATATTGATATTATGACATTCCATTATGAACTTAATTTTAAGAATGCTAACCTTCACGAGTCACTACAAATCCAAAGAGTATACAATTAAAAAATTATCAACAAGCGAGTATTTAGCAAAAAAAAATCGGTTTAAAAACAAGGGAAAAAAATGGGAGTCTGAATATTGAAAGAAGAAAAGCTCATAGGAAGTGAAATAATACAGATTAATTTATTAAAGAACCTGTAATGGAGATTTCGAATAAGCCGCCTCTGAGATTAAACTGATTGAGTACAGAACCGAGAGTCCCTTAATTCCTCTGTCGCAGGTTTCTTCATCGACGGCATAAGAGGCCGTTTGATTTTTCTGCAGCCAAATATTTAACCTTTATTTTCCGGACTGAATTGTGAATAAGCACACAAAGTAATTTTGTAAAGTTAGAGTTACTTTTCTAGTTTTATTAATTAAAATTACTGTAAATAATCATTTTAGTTATTTTTACATATAATTTTTCCTTGTTTTATTAAAAAAATATATTTTGAAAATAATTTTTTCTTAAATCAGCCAATACAACCACTTCAGCTAGAATTTCATAAATTTCAGTAGAATCAGTCAAATAAGCCGATTTTCGTACTATCAAACGGATTCTAAGTCGTGTATGGGCGGGTATTTTTGGCACAACTATACTTTTATAGATTTTTTAGTAATGGTTAACTTTTAATGACTTAAAAGATTTTAAAAGTAAATGGTGGTAGTTGTTTGATAAAAAATTGACTGTTTGATTTAGTTCTGTTTGATGTACAAGTTGTTGGGACTCATTAATACGTAGTACTAAAAGTCACTAACTTTTCTCTCTATAGTATTTCAAAAAAGATTTTTTAATTTTTAAAAAAAATTCTTAAAATTTGTCACATCAAACATAAAATTAATAACTTTTAGAAACTTTTTAAATAATACTCATACCTTCCAAACATAACCTATGTTGGGAAGCTTCGTCCCAGCCGATGGGAGTCCGTCGATGCATACTTGAATCAATACCACCTCTTCGAAGTTACTATAAATTACAATTTAGTTATTTTTTTTTTCATATAATTAGGATATTCTTAATTTTAATTAGACAGTGGTCTAATCTATTCCTCAACTAAAATTATAAAACACATGTTAAGCCCCAAAAAACATAATGTCACACCCATAAATAAATTTACATAAAAAACTTAGTGCCTCATAAAAAAGAACACAAAATGGATTTTCAAAAATAAAATATGTTTCGATCTCCAAACACAATATATTCATTATTTTTACATTTTTAATAGATATTTGCATCCTATTTTGAAAAAAACTGATTTTGAATCTCATCATATACGGAGTATCATTTTAAGAAAAATGTCCGAATTAAGTACAAATTTAAAACATTTTTAGTAAAATGGGATGTCCACTCAAATTTTTAAAAAATAGAATACAAAATTCAATATCATTTAAAATATGGAATGCTAAATCAAATTCTCTCTATTATTTAATTTAAATTTAAATTAATGAGCATAAATTTTGCTCCTAGACATGAAATAGAGGCATATCTGCTATTCTGCTCCTATATTTGCACTGATTTTGTTCTGCGGGAAAAAGGGAAAAAGAATTAAGGAAGAGAGTCCCAAAGTTATAACAACTATACAAGGACTGTCAATCGAATTTCAAAGACACTTGTATTGGGTGAATGGCTTCAAGTTCTCATAGAGGGGGTGATTTCTATGGTGCCGACCCATTTCGGTCAAGGTAAGCATAAATCAACGATCTTCTCTAGTTACTAGTTATGTTTCTCAATCAAAATTTTCACCTTTAGTCTTACCCAAGCGTAATGAATCCTGAGGCGTGAGTGCGAACTTTGAATTCGAAACGTGCGCTGATCAGTTTTGTGTAATTTCCGCTGAATCTGTACAGACAAGGATTGAGCACAAGACAAGTTGGAGGTTCAGATGACATACAGTTGCGTATCGATCCCATGCACGGAGACTTGGATGAAGAGATCACTGGTCTTCGCAAGCAAGTGAAACAGCTAAAAAATGTACCCCAATATCTTTTAGATTTTGTCAATTGTGCAAATTTGATTTCCATTATTTTTAACTGCCTTTACGTGAAGTAAAATGGCTGTCCACTTCAGTTAGTAGATATCCAATATGTTGTTAGGTCGAGGTTTCCTTCTACTTTTTGGTGTGATATGAATCCTTGTTTTTCTTTCATTCCTCTTGCTTTGCTTAATCAGAGAGGGTCGTGTTATTTGTGTAATTATTAGAACTGATCAAATTGAATCAGATGATTAGAAATGTGCAAGGCCTCAGAATTGTTTGGCTGTTGTTTGACAAGTGCTTAGCAAAAGATTCAAGGGTAGCTCAGCTAATTACTCAAGCTTAGTCAAGTACTCAAGTGTGTTGCTATATCAGCATGCCTTGATATAGTTGGTATTCATTAAATGATGGCAATGGATTGATTTGTCACTATCTTGTTGGATGGTTTCTTATTAAAAGCTGCTTGCTGGGTTAACTAATGAAGTGCTATGCTGATTGAGGTTAAGAAACAGTTTTTCTATTTGGCTATACATGATCTGCTTCATTGGCTAGTTAGAAACTTAGAACTTACAAGGGAACCATGTATGCCCCTCTACATTCTTCATGTACCATATACAATTGGTTGAAGAAAATTAGTGCTGCTATGCAGAGTTATTTCTGGCTTATAGTCATAACTCATAAGGTTACTTGGAGTGTGGTTTGAAAAGGCAGTATTGAGGCTCATCTCAATTTCGTTCGTTGGGGAAAAGCTTTGAGGCTTGCACGCTGTTGCAAAAAAGAGAGGCTTACGCTTCTAATGGTTGACGTGTTGAAGCCTACAATGCCTTAATATTTTGCTGAGGCGTAAGTCTCAAAGGTGTGTTGTTTTTTCATTGAAGCTCTGCTCTGACTCTCTCGCTCTCTCCCTATCTTAACCATCGACCTCTCTTATCCCACTCCCTTCCTCTTCAGTCTCCACTCTGGAGGCAACCAAGCAGCTTTCAACTGCCGGGGAAGCTGTCACCCCTCGATCTCTTCCTGGTTTGATGAGCCTGAGACATGCAGGGTTTGTGTTTTGAGCCTCTTACCGTTATGAAGTAGCTTTTGCATAAGTAGTAATTTAGTTTATTATTTTATTTTTTATTTTTTTGTGACTTGTTTCGACCAAAGACATGTGAGATGACTACCTTATTATATTTATTTTAATACTTGCATAGTTAGAGTGTGTTTGCCCCCCCATCTATGCATTTTGTAAGAAGAGTTTTTATGCACATGTCTACCGTCTGTCCGTCTACTCGTTATTCATTTTGGTCGAATCTTATGATTTGTCCTACAAGTTACGATTTACTCTTCCCTTCTGCTTTGTGCATTATCTCAGTTTTAACTTTCCTGTTAAAAACATACTCAGTATTTTTTTAAAGGACCATGAATTAGAGAAGTAAAATGTACGTATTCCAGATTTCCAGTAGAATGGAATGCATTGAATCATGTGCGGAATTATACGTAGTAATATTTAGGGTTTATGCATTAGTGGGCATTCTGGCATGTGATTGGGGAAGTATAAATCATTCCATTTCTAGGATCAGAAGCTACTAGAAATTAGAATATGTAATAATCAACTCTTAATACTTCTAAGATTTTCAACTCTTAATACATCGTGTATTTGATTTGTGATTGGAGAACTCTTCTACCTATCTTCCTTTGGCTTCTTTTTTATTTTATTTTATTTCATAGTCCGCATATTTCTACTCACTTGATTTAAGTTTCTTAGAATATGCTTCACTGCACTCTTGAATGTTTATGAATAAATCTACTTCAGTTCAGCTATGAAATATGATGCCTCATGTCAAAGTCCTTTTCTCTCTGGCTTTCTGCATCATTGTCATCACATTACTAAGTAAATGCCAACTATAGTTAGGCAGTTAGGCTGGGTTACTGACTACTCAAAAAGTATAGTGCATTCAATTTTCAAAAGTTTGTTAATACTACATTAATGCAATAAAGGAAAGTGGGAAAGTTTATGTTAGATGCCATTCTTGTCGCAACCTTCTTACAAAAGAATACAGATGAAATTCCAAAACCATCAACATCATGCGTTTGTATTTCTCTGAAGTCCTTTTGGGTTCATTTGTCTTCCCTATTCACATTTCTTGCTTGTAATATTGCAGGTAGCACAGGAGATCGAATCAGAAGCTAAATTCCAGAATGACTTTATTAACCAGATGGTATGTCATGCATTGCATAAAACTGTACATTTTCTGATGTTTTAGTTGATAGTTGGAATTATGCCTTGAGACTATACTTTGTTTGTATCAATCAGTGTAACAATTTCATTCATATTTATCTGCATTTGAAATATGTTTTTTGAATTATAGGGAAAACTGTCAAATAAGTCCTTGTACTATACCTAAAAAGTCAATTGAGAAGCTGTTCCGTTCGTCTTAATCTTATTACTTATTCCTTAATCTTATTTTATTCAGATCAGATCAGATCAGATCAGAAAGATTCAGATCAGATCAGATCAGATCAGAAAGATTCAGATCAGATCAGATCAGATCAGAAACATTCAGATCAGATCAGAAAGATTCAGATCAGATCAGCAACATTCAGATCAGATCAGAAAGATTCAGACCAGATCAGACCAGATCAGAAACATTCAGATCAGATCAGAAACATTCAGATCAGATCAGATCAGATCAAAAAATTCAAACATGATTTATCACTTTTATTATTATATTAATTATGATTATTATATTATAGTTGTTGTTAATAATATTAATATATTAATATAATAATATTATTAATAATAATATAATAATAATGTTAATAATATAAAATTATTATTATATTATAATAATATAATATACTATACTATAATATAATATAATATAATATAATATAATATAATATAATGTAATGTAATGTAATGTAATGTAATGTAATGTAATGTAATGTAATGTAATGTAATGTAATGTAATGTAATGTAATGTAATGTAATGTAATGTAATGTAATGTAATGTAATGTAATGTAATGTAATATAATGTAATATAATATAATATAATATAATATAATACTTCCTCCGTTCCCTTTTAATTGCAACAGTCAACATTTCACGTTTGCCAACGCACAAGTTTGACCATTAATATCTTTCATTCCTTATTAGTAAAAAATTCAAAAAATTCATATTTTGAAAATTTAGAATGAGAAGAATTTAATAATATTTTTTAAAAAATTAATTTATAATACATTAATGAATAAAAAATAGTCAAAGTAGAATATGTGAATAGTGCAAAAAGTCCAATGTTGCGATTAAAAGAGAACGGAGGATAGTATAATATAATATAATATAATATAATATAATATAATTATAATTATAATTATAATTATGATTTACAATGTAATTATAATTATAATCATCATTATTATTAATATGATTGTTGTTCTTGTTGTTATTTTTGTAATTATTATTACTTCGGAGTAATTATATATTTAAATTAGTAATTATAGATATAATTATGATTATAGAGATAAATATTATAATTATAATTACAAAAAAAATAATTATAAAATTAATCATAATTAAAAATATAATTACATTTATAATTGTATCTGTATTTATAATTAGTGTAATTGGTATAATTATTATAATTTTAAATTTAATTTTAATTATTATTTTTTTATAATTATGATTATAATTGTAATTTTATTTAAGTTATATTTTTAATTACAATTATAAATCTAATAATTATAATTATAATTACAATTATAGAAATATTCAAATCAGATCAGAAAGATTCAGATCAGAAGAATTCAGATCAGATCAGAAACATTCAGATCAGATCAGAAACATTCAGATCAGATCAGATCAGATCAGCAACATTCAGATCAGTTCAGCAACGTTCAGATCAGATCAGAAAGATTCAGATCAGATCAGAAAGATTCAGATCAGATCAGATCAGATCAGAAAAATTCAGATCAGATCAGATCAGATCAGAAAAATTCAGATCAGATCAGATCAGAACTTAAAAAATTCAGATCAGAAACATTCAGATCAGGTGAACGGAACAGCTTCTGAGTCCTTCTACTTTTTAAACATTCAATTACATCCTCTAACTATCACAAAACATTCAATCAGGCTATTTTACCGGTTCAATATATACATTCTCGGTAACTGCCGATGTGGACAGTCATGTGTAATTCATTTTTTCTTTTTTCTTTTTCTTTTCTCTCTTGTTTCTTTCATGTGCCCTTCTTCAATTGGGTTCCTGGTTATCTCATGTCTGCCTCGCCATGGATAAACCTACAGAATGCTTCTTTGCTTCACTTTTTCTTTCTTTAATTTCTTGGTTTTTGGTTCTATTTCATTCTCCATAATACCATGTCTTCACTCTCTACTTTCTGCCGTCCCCGCCCCCTCTCACTCAGCGGCCGCCGCACACAACTTCCCCAGTCGCCATCGGTCCATGTAGTCACTCTCCAATTTCCCAGCGGCCATCCCGCCACTCGTCGGCTGCCGCACACAGCTTCCCAACCCCTGAACCCCATCTCGCGCAGCCCGTCGCCCACAATCTCACTAATAGCCGTCGTCTGTCTGCCGACGACGACCTCCCCAACCTCCGTCGCGTGCCGCCTGTCTCCCACCGCTTCCTCCACCGTCTTCCTGGTCCGCCCGTTGCCCAACTCATCCCAAACCGTTGTTGCCTGCCTCCGGAAGAAAGAATGTAAGAGAGAAAAATAAACTTTGAATGAGGGTCGGAGGTCGTGAGGCAGAAAGCAGGAGAGAAAGAGACTGAATGGGAAGAGAAGAAAAAATATAAAATAAAGAAAATAATATCATGTGGTGGCCAGGTCAACTTTTACCGGAAGTACCTTTCGGAAACCGGTTAAAAATCCTAATTGAACATTTTCTTATAGTAGAAGGATATGATTGAGTGTTTTAATAGTAGAGGGACTTAATTGACTTTTTTGATATAGTACGAGGACTTATTTGACAGATTTCCCAATTATTAAATATTACCAATTTACCACCACTTACAGTAGGAGAAAGTATAACCATGATTTAATGAAAACTTCAGAAGCTTTAAAACGTTTACGTTACTAAAACCTATACTACGTGAAGTATTGCATTTGCATACCAGATATTAGTTACTTGCCATAATATCACTTATCTTTGCTTAAACGTTCACGGGGTTTTACTTGTATGTTTTTAGGAATGCAAACCAACTAAATCCTTTAATTTATTTGGATACGTGCTTGTCAGGGTTTCGAATGCTATTACTACAACTAATTTGTACTCCCTCCGTCCCAATTTGTAAGATACATTACGGTTTACGATGTTTGACTGATGATAAAGCAAATTGATCCCTGACAACACTCAAATTAGTTCTAGAAAATAAAATTTACATATTCATAAACTACATTAAAACCGCTACAAAACCTGCAAAAAATAATTCAAATTTCATAAACTTTTGATATATAAAATAAAAGATTAAGATTGATTTATGTTGACCAAGTGAATAGTAAATGTATCATACAATTTGGGACTGAGGGAGTATATACCTTTTTTCCGTGGGGGAGGGTCTCTTGGTGATTTGTAAATATTATATTCATTGTTCCCTGGCCACAGCAAATGACATTTATGAAAGCTCAAGCTGGGGTGAAGAACAATATGAGGAGGCTGAACCGGAGCATTATCCAGGAAGGATCCAACCATGTGATGCATGTAGTTCTTTTTGCATTGCTCTGTTTCTTTGTGATATACCTGTTAGCCAAATTTTCACGACGGTAGTATGTAGTAGGAATTCGTCTCATATTCTGTGCATTGTTATATCACCTAGAGCTTCTAAAAATGAACTGATGTGGAAGAGATATTGCATTGTTACATTTTAGTTGTGGTCATGGGTTCTCTTGGCTGCTTGCAATCAAAATGTTATCACGTCTTAGTTTTCATGTTTTCTTCTCTAAGGAGGTGAGATATGCTTGCAGGTGTTCCACTCAATGACAATCACCTTCTATATTTGAAAAGGTTTAGATCTAATGTCATTTGGATTGGAATTTACTAGTTTACTAATCTAGATATTGTCTGATTTCATGAAGTCTTCTTTGGTCTGATTTGAATTGATATGATTTTAGATTTTTAGATATTAGGTGGATTTTATCATTACCAAAATCTGGTTCGGTTTGATCCGTTTGTTAGATATGTTTTTCTTTGGTCGGTTTAAGCTAGTTTGATCTTGTGTGTCACTCTAATAAGTCAAACTGAAATAATTTAGAGTGTATGGTTTCCTAATTGCCAATATCAGGCTCGAAATAAGCAACATAATCCTTGTAATGTGATCAGTCAAAAAAAAAATCCTTGTAATGTGATAATGCTAATTATCATGTTTACCTATCTAAAGGAATTTAATTTTGTTATAGTTGGACTTGATTTGATCTTTCCATTTTCCTCATTTTCTATCAAACATACCTCTAATTTGCCGGCCCTCCCTCATTGGATCTTTTATAATGTGAGGTGACTGTGACCTGTTTTTTATCAGTTGCAAATTCATACTCCGTAATGTACAAGTATCGTCTAGGGGTGGACCGGTTCCGGGCCGGGCCCGGTTCAGCCCGAACCGGCCGGGCCTCGGTTCAAGGTAGGGGAAGCCCGGAACCGGCCCGGGTAACCCCGGGTTCGGTTCTATTTTTTTTTTTTTTTGGGGTTTTCCTAATCAACCCCCTACCCTTCCCCTCAACAACCCCAAACCACCCCAAACCACCTCAAATGGCCCAAAATACCCAATCCAACCCAAAAACTTAAAAAAAATTCAAAAAAAAAAACAATTAAATCCAGCCCGGGCTGGGCCCGAACCGGCCGGGCCGGTTCACCAAAATGAAGGCCCGAGCCCGAAACTGGTAGCCACCGGGCCGGGTCGACTCGAACCGCCCATGGGCCGGGCCGCCGGGCCGGGCCGGTTCAAACAGTGATCGGGGCGGGGCGGTCCCGATTCGGGCCGCCCGGCCCGAGTCCAACCCTAGTATCGTCCAGGAAAAGGAGAAGAAAATTTAAACTATGGACTAAAAAGAGGGAAATTGTCATTTGGATCCCTTAAACATACTGATCGGATTGGTAAAACTAAGAGTCTGTTTGCAACAACTTCTGCTTTTAAAAAAGTGTTTTTTTTTAATGAAATGGGGAGAAGTGATTAAATAAAAGTTGAGAAGTGCTTTTTTAAAAGGAGTTGCAAACCAACCCTAATACGGCTGTGATTTGTTTTATAAATTTTGACAGGGATACCAAAACTATTAAATTTTCAAATTGTAAAGTTTGTAATAGATGATGTTCAGTTAGAGATCCAAGTGACATCAGTTCCGGGCCGATCGGCCCGTGGCCCGGCCCGACATTGTTTGGAACCGGCCCGGCCGGGTGGCCCGGACAGAGACCGGTCCGGGCAGGCCGGGCCCGGAGGTTATACAGGGCGGGCTCGGGTCATCAAAAATAGGAACCGGCCCGGCTGGGCCTGGTTCGGGCCTTTTTTTTCAATTTTTTTCCCCGGGTTGGGCTGGGTGTTTTGGAGGGGTTTGGGGGGGTGAGGGGGGGGGGGGGTCAGGGGTTAACTAGAACAACAACAAAAATTGAAGAAGCCCGGGGACCAGCCCGGCCCGGACCCGGTGGAAACCCGGGCCGGTTCCGGGCCTGAAGCCAAACCCAAAAAGCCCGCCCAGGACCGGCCCGGAGCTTGGCCCCGCCCGGGACCGGTCCATGAATACTAAAGTATGTCTCAACATGACTTATTTAGTTCTAAACTTCTAATGTTTCTATTGAAAGAATAATTATGATGTTTTCTTTTGGACTGTTTTCCGTCCCAGACCAGACTTCCGTAGTTATAAAATACACAGAGACCTGACGTTTACCAGAACAGATCAGACCAAATTACACCAGACTAGACCAACAAATTTCAGTCCAAAAGAAAACATCCTTAGTCCCAAAAGAGTGGCAGATCGGCTAACATAAACCAATATAATAAATCGGAGTTAAAGAGTTTTATTTAGTTCTCTAAAAGGATAAGATTACTTAGAATGCCCAAAGTAAAATTAATGAATGTTTTATACATGATAATTGATAAACATTCTACTTTGAACCATTCATGCTTTACTTGGGAATTCAAACATTTTCTTATTATGAAAATATACATGGAAAGAAACTCTACGATATTTCACTGTTTTCGCATAGTAGCAATTATTCTATACATTGTAATATGGTCATAATGGGACATGTGAATCTGTTCAAAATAAAAATGTTGTATCTAAAATCTTAACAATTGTTTGTATAATCATTTGTGCAAAATCTTGCCGTTGACTATCACATATATGCATGGCAAAAATGTCCATCTCCTTTATGACCCATTCAACACGTCCACCCACCGCGTTGACTTGACTTCCCTCCATCGCCATTCCACAACACCATGCTCTGCATTTCCCACTCCTCCTTCACCCGCTCAACCTCCGCCTTCGTCCGCCCGACCACTTCCCAGAACCCGCCTTTCCGCCGTCTTATGAACAGCTCCACCATCCTCTCCTTACACTTCTCCAGCCGCTCCAACCAGGACCGCAACTCGGTCAGCTCCGCGTAACTCAGCTTCCCAACTCGCTCATGCAACTCACCGAGCCGCAACAGGACTCGGTACTGAGCCGACCGGTAGTCCTCCGCCACCATGCTCATCACCTCATGCACGACGTCGTTCTTGCGCCAGTCCAAAGATTCCGGCGCTCTGCAGATTCCCTCCACCGCGCCGACCAAACATTCCATCTCCTTATCATCGCCGGAATATTCAAGATTCTTGGGGTATATATTTTCGAAGTTTATCGATCTTCTCGAGGAGCAAGAAACGTATGAATCATCACCAAGAACTCTGAACGTCGTTATGCTCTGTTCTACTACGCCGGCGTACCATCTCACCCACGCGGATAACTCTAGCGCGCCGGCGCCGGCGCCGGAGTTTGATTTAAAGTTGGAAAGATTGAGAGAATTACGGCCGCCGCCTCCGGCGCCGCCGCCGGGATAGAAACAGAGATGGTTCTTGAACGAGAGGGAGCCCTTGACTATGAGGGTGTGGATGACGTAGAGACACTTGAGGGCCACGAAGGGGTTGTGGGTCCCGTGGAGGCGGTCCATGATGCCACCGACGCAGGCGCTTATCACCGCCGGAGACCGGTCGCCGAAGTCGAGGAGAGCCGCGATGCGGTGCTCCGGGGGCGGAGATGTGGAGGTGTGGGTGGTGGCTCTAATGATGGCGACCCTGATTGATGAAACTGTGCGTTTCGCCGTGAGAAATGCCTTGATCGTCGACGCTTTGTCCTTTAATTTTCCGGCGATCATTGCTCGGAGCTGTTTTCTTGATTGAATCATCGCCGGCCGATTGAGCCGAAAGTTAGAATCTTGGTGCCAAGAAGAAGGTTGCAGTCACGATGAAGTCGTCGAAAGATCATTTCCCGAGTCCCGACCAAATGATACTCCAATAATTAGGCTATAACATACTCCTACTCCCCTGTAAACTATCTCAATTTTCAAAAAAACTTTTTTGTGTGGGAAGCCTATTCAAAGAAAAAAAACCGGGCGTGTATGAAACGTGTAGCAAAAGGCATCTACAGCCACCAGGGCTGCTCAATTTTAAAATTTGGAAAATAGTTTGTTTATACAAAATTTGTACACAAAAATTGTACATTTGTCTGTCCATCACAAACAAATTGTCTGTACACCAAGCTTCACTCTTAAAATTTTTTACCATCCTAATTTTTGTCATATACTAGTACTATGTACGTAGTATACCATTATTACAACAAAAAAGATATTTGTACCCATGCACTATAATGCTCATGAATTCCAAACAAAATATGTCTTATTTTGTTTATGCAAAATTTGCACGGGCAAAATAAGACAAATTTTGTATCTGAACCGGATTAATAGACAAAAAAACATTTCACAAGCATTATGTGTACAAGGGTGGGTACAAGAAGAATGGTTGGAGAAGTTATTTCAAAATAACTTCTCTGAATTCTCTAATCTCTAATAACAAAAAAAAGTAAAGTTGAAGTTAATTTTCTGACTGCTTCGATTGAAGTTACTTACCCCTTCCGATCCGCAAAATAGTTCTCGGTTTTCTTTTTGGGCTATTCCAAAAAAAATCCATTTCATTCCCTTTTTGGACAGTCTGACTCACATTTATTTGCCTTTTTCTTACTCAACCACAAACATACATTTTCACTTTATTCTCACTTTTTTAAACCTCGATCCAAGTCGTCAATGCGGGAACTATTTTACGGGAACTATTTTCTTTAAATTTTTTTTATATATTAACAAAATATAGTTTTTTCTTAAATAGGTGAATCAGCTAATCTAGTCACTTCAATCAAAACATCATAAATTTCAGTAAAATCAGCCAAATATAGCCGATTTGGGTATAACCTGTGGGCTTAGAGGATGGGGTCGGTTTTACTGAACGAAATGGCATTGTAGAATTAGGTTTGACATTAATAATGCTAATATAATCTTTCTGACAAGTCCTATTAAATCAAGTAGAAATAATTCGGTCGTAATTAGAAAATTCAATAAAATTTTGATATTATTAAAAACAATAATTCTTAATCAAACCAATTCATACTAAATTGGATCAAATAGAATTAATGTAAAAAATATGATTTTTATGTAGTAATCATTTTTACAATCCGTTTCAAACTAAAATTGAAAACCGATAAAAGCTGAATCAAAACGGAATTGTCCACTCCCGGCTCCTGCCCTCCATCCCATTTTTAAAATCTAAGATATTTTATGATAGCTGCGCTAGAATACTATTAGCGGTATGTAGAAAAAAAAAACAAAGTTAATAAGTTAAAGAGAGAAGTATAACATAAATCAATGATTGAACCATTACATATGTCTAAAGGGGACTAATTATACTAGACATTAATGTTAAGTGAACTAAATGAATTTATACATGTAAGCTAGTGTAGGAAGAGAAGCATTGGAGGGGGTGATTGACATAATAGGGTTTTGATGGATAGTGTACCCGGGGGTAGCTTATCCGAATGGTTATTACGAGAAATAACTAGAGAGAAGTCAGAGCAAACAAGTAAATGAACTCGAGATGTTGGGATCGTTTACAAGGGGAAAGAGGCTGCTATTTATAGCAGCCATAAATGCTAAGCACGTACACATGTCGCTAATCTAACGGCCGAGGGTCACCTCAATCGGGGTGGCACCGACATTTGCATGTGAGCCGCATTAAATACGGTGGTTGGACGTGATGCCGCATTGAATGCGGTAGTTGTCTTTCTCCAAAGGGAATATTCGCTGAGTGTTCTGTAGCAGAAGGCCTATCTTGTGGCCGAAGGCTCTGTGTGGCCGAAGGCTACCCATGTACTGAGGGGTCTATATGTGCACCGCGGGCTTCTTCGTATTTGGGCCGCTATGTTTGGGCTCTGTGCGCTCATTGGGCTTGATGGGCCTGTGTAGGAGGCGTAGGGGTCTATGGGCCGGGGTCCTTGGGCCATATACTCCATCAGGTTTAATGCACCAAACCCCTCATGATATAGAAAGTCAGCGCATTAGCCTCATGTGATTTGAAAAATGTGTGAAACCCCCTTGTGTTTTAGTTAATCATGCACAGAACCCCTTTTATAAATAAATTTAACGATTTGGAAATCAATTTTCCTAATATTTTGATTGAATATGCAAATAAATATGTCAAAATCTCTGAATCATACAAAAATGTTAATCATTTTTATTTTATTTGACGATTGAATTTGTTCACAGAAGGGATTTTACGCATAATTAATTAAAACACAAGGGAGTTTGACGCATTTTTTAAATCATAAAAGGCCAATACGCCGAATTTTTAAATCATAAGGTTTAGTGCATTAAAGCTGACATAATCTTTTCGAATCAATTTCTATGTTGGTCAATCTTGTACGAAGTATGATGTTGTGGCCCCCGGCTGTGGTGGCACAACCGAGAGGTGATTGATTGCTTGTTGGACTTTTAATGGCCCGTTGGACCATTTTTGTGTAGTATATATGGGGGCTCAATTTGGGAATCCAAGATTATATACTCCACCATTTCGATCAAATCCATAATTTGTACTCCGTATTATTTAATTTAATACAGGAATTTGAAATTTATATATTTACAAATCACATCAAAAGTTTTATAGATGAATGGATAGGGACTGAAGGCGTATTATATACTCCCTCCACCCCTAAAATTATGTCAACTTTCATTTTTTGATTGTCCTGTTAATTTCATCACTTTTTATTTGAAGTAATTTAAAAATTAGTGGTGATTTTTTAAAAGTCTAAAGTAGTTTATACATATTGAAACTTTTATTCATTCACATAGACTTTTAAAATTATAGATTCTCGCAGACTTTTAACTCATTTTTAGTACTATACATTAGCTCTCTGCAGTTGTCTCTTCTCGCAGACTTTTTGTGTTTACGTTTACTCATCACAAGTACGCATAGATATGATTCCAGAGTTATACCAGAATTGACTAATTATTTACATGGGATCACAAACCGACCTACCAGGCTTGGACTTGTACCGGGTCGGGGAGGTGAGACTAGGATGGTCTTGGATCGATATGCAAGATTGGAAAATTAAAAAGTGATTTTAATCGTTTATGATAAATAAAATTGAACAAAGATATTCTACATCAATAATAATGCATAAGATAAATTTAAAAAATAAAATGTGACTTTTTATATATGGAGTATCTATTTTATGAAGAAATATATAGGGGTGAGATTGGTTCGATTCTTAGAAAAAAAAAGAACCATTTGAAGAATTGTTAATCCAATGCTATCAGTTAACCATTAAGAATTAAAAATGAATTTAACCATTACTATGTTTCATCGTTACACTGCTAACACATACAATATAATATCAAATTAAAAAATAATATATAATCGTAAATAAATAAACAAATTTTGACAAGATAAGAATGAAAAAGGGAAAACTATCAAATAACCCCCCAACCTTTCAAAAAAATCAATTAGACCCTCTTACTTAAAGTTCAAACAATCAAACCCTTCCCTTCAACTCATTTAAAAATATCAAATTTTCCTTTTAACCAGTAGTGAATAGGTTACCGGTTTTATATGCATGTACACATGGCAACACACGTGACTATTTTAATTTTTTTCACTTTCTTTCTCATTTTTGCTTTCTTGTTTCACTTTTCCTCCACCTTCTTTCTCATTCCACCAGACCGTTCCATTCCAAACTTCCGCCTCCCCCCTTCTTTTCTTCCGATCCACCTTTCTTCTCCTTCCAAGTTCCACACTTCCACCCACCCTTTCTTCTGCCCTTTCTTCTTTCTTCTACCAAGCAAAGGATTGGTCTTCCATCGGCGCAGCACTGGACAGAGTCCGAGAGGAACCCAGGTCGCTGCCTCGCCGGAGATGCTCAAGTACTCGCACTCTAGTCTTCCCCTGTCGGTGATTCGATGGATTAGAAGTCGGGGAAGATGCTCCTTCGAAGATTCTAGGTCAGCAAGTCCGAGACAGTGCTCTTGAAGCCTCCAGACCACTCCCAGATCCGTAGCTTCAATTTGGGTGTAGACCCTAGTCAACGGTAGAGAAGAGGCGCAGGGAGGAGGGTGAAGGTCGGGAAACCACGAGCAGAACACTGGGTGGAAGAAGAAAATGGGGAAAGAAAGAAGTAAAGAAGGAAGAAGGAAGTAGTTGCATAGACTGTGAGGCGCAGGGGAAGAAAGCGCAGAAAAGAAAGGGGAATAGGAAAGAAAGAAAAATAAAAATAAAAAGAAGATGAAAATGAAAAAAAGAAAATAAAAATGCCACATCACACACCAAATAAGCAATTAACCGGGAAAAATAATAGAATACCTACTAAAAGGAGGATTTGCAATTTTTAAATGAGTTTAAGGGTTTAATTGGATGAACTTTTAGTAAGGGGGTCTAATTGATTTTTGAAAAGTTAAGGGGACTTATTTGATAGTTTACCAAAAAAATATTAAGAAAAAAAGCTAGATCGCACATATGTTCATACCGCATGTAGTAGTTAGTGATTATTATTCTTACTCATTCAGTTATGGAATGTTAAAAATTGATCATAAAGTGACCCAATTTGTTAATCATTCTCCCAATTTTGAGTTTTCTAATAAATAAAAATAAATCTAGATGCTTATACTTCACTTATTCTTGTAAAATTCGGCATTGCTAGATGAATTAAATTTGTTTAATTTATTTAGTTAATGTTTCTTATCATATACGAAGTATTATACTAGAAAAAGTACAGAAAAAGAACCAATGAATGGATGCAATTTGTTTTATCTTAAGCCTATTTAAGCCCTTCAACCAAACCAGTGTACTTCTATAATAATTTTTTGATTTTAATTTTTTTGACTATGTACTTGTTATAATTTTCTCTCTGTGCCGCAAAGAAGTTCACACTTAGACATAAACAATACTTCCTCCGAGGCTCTAACCCTCTACCCCGTAAATAAATCCCCATTTTGATTTACACACACAATGATAAGGGATCAAATGAGAACACGGTTTAACGTGAGAACACCATATTTACCATTAAGTGCAGCAG